CTCCCCGCTGCGGGCACGGGGACGCCGGCGCCGGAAGGGCTCGGCCGGTTGTGAGCTGTCTCCTGCGCCTGATTTTCTCGGATGTTGCTGGATTTCCATACGATTCCTAGTCGCCGTAGTAGGCGCTAGAGTTAGCTGTAACTTGTGCTACGTAGAGTAGCCCGCAGTCTTAAAGTGTGCTGATGATCATGTTTTTCTCTTGTTTTGAGCCTACTGCCTGTTCTTTAAAACTGGGCAATTATTCCGAGTATTGCTTTGTGGATGCCGTATCTCAGTTACTCTTTCAAGTGAGTATTCGCTTCCTTGTTCTTTCAGAAAGCAATGGAAATCAGCTCATGGCCTAAGCAAGCACCAACATGATCAGCACATGATGTCCCAAGAGCATGGTATGATGGGGCTTTTTTGATTAAATGTTTGCCCTATATAAATAATTATTTATGTGTGACTTTGGAATAACTTACCTGTTGAGAAACTGGTTTCTTTCACGTGCTGTTAATCGAATTCTACAGAGAGAAGCGATTGGTCTTGATATTTAAATTTTTGCCTTTGTGTTGCCCATTCATTCACTTCCAGAATGAATGTGGTGTCAAAAAAGGCAAACAGGAATTCTTGCTAAAACTGTTTAAGGAGTTGGTTAATGTACCTTTTCTCCTCCCTGGTTTTGCAAGGACAAAAAAACCCATCTCTTAGCGGTTAAATGGATGAGCAGTTACGTATTAGCTTTTATTTTTCGGCCTTTCTAAGTGAGGAATTTGTGGGTCGTTAGAAAAGGAAAAATTAATAGCTTAATGTTCGCTTTTAGTATTACTTAGCTCTCCTGACTGTAAGGATAACGTTTTTACAGCTGTACTGCAAGTAATTACTACAGATATCATTTTTTGTTTGTTTCTTCAGCTCCTTTGCGGATCTGTTCAAACAAACTTAACAATTCCTTAGTTAACCTTATGTTGTACCTAAAACTTCCATTGCAGTTCTGAAGGTAGTTCTAGGGTTGCTCTTATAGCCCCAGTTCTTGCCATCTCTTTGTATTGTTTTATGTATTTCTTTGGCTAACATATATCACTTTATCTAATGGAAAAAAGAACGACTAAAAAGCTGCAGTTAACGTACACAGATCATGCTGTAACGTGGTGATAAATTTTTCTTTGTCCATTGGATAAAATGTAGGTTTTCTTGTTTTTTTTTCCTTTTTTCTTCCTAGCAGTAAACATTAGAAACTTTGAGAGACCATCCTCCAGAAATTTAAATCATCAATGGCTCTTTAATGCACAGGTAGTTTTTATTAAAAAGCTACATGGAACAGTCTAGTATCCAAAAGATTGACTAGCAGGCCTAAACTCTTTCTAATGATAAAGCAACAGAAGTATCAGTGTTGCAAGATACTAAAATGTAAAGCAGTCCTGCATGTTATCCAAAAGATTGTTGTTTTTTTTTATCGTTGCAGTTTAAGAGCTGCTTCTATCCTTGGTGATGCAAGATTTTATTCCTGTTTAATGTTGACAAGAATGATAGTCTAATTTCGGACTTCTTCAGAGTCCTGTAGTTTTTCACTTACACAAAGATACGTACAACCTATGTACACTCTGCTACAGAAAAGATGAAGAGCACAGCTAGCGATGTTCTCAGTGTGTTTTGCTTTTGCGTTGTGTCATTTTGTTATTAATGACTGAGCGGTCAGAAAAAGTATAAAGGGAATCCCTGTGTAGCACAGCTTAGTATTGGATGATGTCTTCTGTTCTGCTGCAGTCTTGCTTTGATGCACTTTTGGTGGTGTGAAGTATACTTTAGGGTATCATTGTTAGCAGGGGGCAGCTCTTACCTTGGGGATAGTGGGATCTGTTCCTAGCAGAATGCTAAAATACCTACAGAAACCTCTAACAGAGCTCTGGTGCGTTTGTGCAGTATCCATCAGTGGGGATTTTGCTGGCAGTTCTCGAGCTCATAGAGGCAAGCATGTGGTGAAATCGCCAAAGCAGGATGAAGTTACAAAGTCCTGATACCCCAATTGTCCTGCAATTTTCTCCATAAGGTGAGTGATAAGAATTTATTTTAGAACTGCGTGCTTCTAGCTTCCTTTGTATGATGAACTTGGTTTTGGAACAAAGTACATCATTCAAGTTCAGCAGAATGACTTTTGAGCAGAAATCGCAAGTGAAACACTCTGGGTTCCCTCAGCCTGACAACTTTGTTCTTATCAACAACAAAAGCAAAGTGAGAAATCCTAAGACTTAGCAAGTCAACATTTCACTGTGAGGGGCTTTGTTAAAAATCATGCCTGGCTACCAGTGTGTTCAGGAAGAATCTGTGTGTCTTAGTGTGGTTTTTTTTTTTTTTTTGGGGGGGGGGGCGGTGCTGTGGAGAAATTCAGGGAACAGGGACTTAAAATGTTTGTGTGGAAGACTGGTAAATCATGGAAGCCCAACATTTCATGTGCAAAATGCTATTTCTCTGTAACTTCCTGGAAAAGCCAGCACTGTTTAAAAGCTGGATAGTGCGCTTCACTGTGAAATGTGGTAATACAACCAAGATGATAAGAATGGGATGTATTATCCAAGATTTGTTTCAGTGCCAAAACTGTGGTTTGTGTAACTTAAGTACGTACCCAAGGGCATGATAAGTCATTTGAGCCTTTGAAGCCAGGAGATTTCTGGTCAATGTTTGAAGTGCTGTGTGAAGATAATCCAGTACTGAGAAATCATTATGATAATCTACCGGCATTTCAGGGAACATAATATGCGATGTGCTAGAGAGCAGTGTTCCTACTGAATGCTTTGTGCAGTACTCAGTAGCGAAAGAAAAAATGGATGGAGGTTTGTTGAAACAGCAGTGGACTTTTATGAATGTGAGGTGAACAAACGAATTGCTCAAACATAGGAAAGTACAAGAGTGGTGAAGGGTAGATGGCCTGAAGTAGAAACACTGATAAAAGACAGATTCCTTTTTGCACATTTTGTGCAGTTATGTTTGCCAATTAAACCTGCAGGAACATATTGCAGGACACACGCAGAGCTGAAAGTATTTTTTCTGAACGTTTGTCTGTGTTCCCATTATTCTTTTTGTTTGTTTCACTGATGCATTCAGCTCTCCTTGATGGCACATTGAAGAGGAGGATGCCGAAACCCAGTGCAAAACAGTGGACTTCCCAGGGAAGAACTGTAAATATGGCTTAAGAAAACCCAGAAGAGTTGAGAGTCATGGAGAAGCTTCAGGAAGAATCAGGGTGGCATTTGGTCCCGTTTGTGAGTAGTTTGCACTATTCAGTCTTCCGAATGCTGAATGGCTGTGTTGCTTGCTTTCTTTGTTCTCACTATGCCAGAAATGGATATACTGTACAGACGGCTACAGAATAGAAATACAGACTATGTAATTGTGCAGCACTTGCAATACCAGCTTTCAAAATGCAATTGCAACTCTCTGAGAACAGGCTGATGATTTGGCAGCGCTTTGCAAAGGCAACGTTATAAGCTCTTCAGCCAAGAAAGAAAGGTTATGCAAACGGAGCTGAGTCAAGTTATAAAGGAAGTTTATGATCCAGTAGTTGTCCATACTGAAGATAAATTCAGATGCTGATCTCCTAACTGCTACCAGACTGGGTGATGTTGAGTCATTTAAAGACTGTATGCTATCTTCTGATAAGGAATTAGATAGGGTAGTCAAATATCCTCAGTTTTTAGAAAAAATAAACTGAGGACAGCTTGATATATTCTATGAACATGCTGATGTTCATATGTATGAACTTCAGTGATATAAAGTTCACTATATCGCTGTTCCTTTCCTTTGGTGGAAGGAGGGGAAGAGTATAACAAGTTTTCAATGAAATGAAAAGTTCTTCAAATTATTAGCACATGCATGACAGTATCAGAATTGGAATGTTTCACGCACTGAAACATGTGAAAATCTACTTGAGGAACATGGGAAACACATAATGACTCAATGCTTTACCAGTGCTGTTGATAGAGAATGAACTAGTGAAATGCATACAAGATTCTTAACACCAAAGTCACGGAGCTCTTTGCAAGGCTGAAGAATAGACAGGTGCTTTTTTTAAAAAACAAAAACAAATTCTGTTGGGCACCAGAAAAAAAAAAAAGATTACATTAATGGTAATCCACTATGAGTGGATGTACTTAATTACGTGGCTACTTCTTCTTTTTCAACATAAAACAACCAGAGAGTCTCCTCTTACTGGCTTTACAATGACCTACTGTTCTTGTTTTGTGTAACACCATTCTCTTAAACTAAACCATCATTGCCCAATGCACAAATGTATGTGTGCATGAGTTACAACTACAAAACTGTCTGTTGATCCATTCCAGTACAAAGCATTAGAGCTGCTACTAACTTACTTAGAGTGGATTAGGATCTGAAGTTTTGCTTAGTTAGGCAAAGAGCTTCTCTTGCATATAGGCTTTATAAACATTACAGTTGCAGATTTTGGTTTCTGACCGTTTTCCAAAAGGATGAGGGGGAAGCTGGTCCTTGTAACTTTGTACCAGTCTTAAGGATCTAGCAACCTAATGGTTGCTCGGATAGGATATTATTGAAAACAGTCACCAGTTACATGTGTCCAATCTTGCATTGTGTTTACTCTTTTTTAGGAAGAATTGTCGGAACCAGCCTGAGACAAATGGCATTCTGTGTAGAATAAGTCTTCTCCATAAGAAACAGAAACCTATAGAAAAGATGGAATATTAAGCCTGAAAATTCACGTGGTAAAACTCACAAGTTGCTCTTAACTGAATTGGGGCAGTGTCTGGCAATGTCTGTGTAGACAAAAAAATAAAGATCTTTTTTTTTTTTTAATTCTTGGAACTCTCATCTTTTCCAAGCTATAATAGCAGATGCTTCTGTTCAGCAGTAGGACTTGTATTATATTGCTTTGGCATACCAATTCACCCCTTTGGACTAAATCCCAAGAGCTAATAAATGGATGGGAGTTAATTGCTGAAACCATGGTCTTCTGCAGTGCTCTGAGAGATTGGGTTAGCTGTGACTTGTATTGCAGTGAGGAAAAGCAGAAATTTGAAATTCAGCAAACTTGGATTTAAAAGCTGAGACAGAGGTATTTCTGCAGTATGAAAAACCTGCAAGCTTTCTTTGGACCCTAGACACTCTGCATGTTATGGCACCACGTATGGCCTGTAAACTAAACCTGAAGTAGAATGAAATACACTGCAGGAATAATGATGGGATTGCCTACCTCTTACTGGAAGGTTTGTTCATCATGCATGTATTTTATCAGCCACTGTGAATGCTGAAATTCCAAAACTTGCAATGTCAGATTTCTCAGTACTGAATATAGGCAAATTACTAATGCAACTTGTAAGTACAAGCATGAGTTTCTTTCTGCTTTGTCAAGATGGGAGAAAGTTTAGACAAGAATGGTTCAATCTTCTTGTGAATGAAGGTGTAATTATTGGATGCCCTAGAAAGGTTAGCGGTTGCATTTGGGATTATATTCCCTGAAGAGACCATCTGTTCAGGAGTTGCTCCTGGGTCTTTGTTCAGCAGTGCAAGACTAGCAGGAGTAGCTTTTTAAGACTTTCTGTTGTTTTGTTTTTTAAACCCTTGAGAGTACCAGCTAATGCCAAGCTTAAATGATGGTGTCTGAAATGTCAATTCCGTATCAACAGGAAAAACTGGAGAATTTAAACTTTGGTATTTATTGATTCTTTTTTTTTTTTTAATTTGTCCCACCACACTGTGAAACAAAAGTGATGTGGAGGGAGGAATAAATGGGGGAAAAGGGGCACTAATTACTAAAATAGTATTGCTGGTAACTGTATGAATGGTGTTAAGAGGTTAGGACTGCTTTTCCTAGTTTTTATGAGCAGCTAATTGGATTGTACCCTTGCAAAACAAACAAAAAACCCCCTTGTGAAACTCCCTCCCCCCTCCTTTCCTTCCTCTGCTTTACTCTAACACTAACACAGAATCTGGCAGACTTAAGGTTGATAGTATTGAAGTAGAGAGGAGGAAGGGATCCCAAGTGTTCAAGGGAAGCTAGAAAACAGACTTGCACTAGCTTGGTGCTTTACCAACCCTCCTTTCTGTTACTCACCTTTGGTGCTCTATGAAAGAGGGTTAATATTCAAAGCCTGAGAATCATAACTCCTATGGGGTGAGGATAGAAAGGAAACAGCTGGCTTGTTCTCAATTCCCCTTTACCTTTCATCTCACTGCATTGAGACTTATACAATTCAGTCCAACTTCACTGAGGCTTGATCTAATAAATGAAAACAGACAGTTTGCATCAGTGCATGACCAGTAATATTATTGAATGTAAATTATTTATTATTTCTTTTTCCTGGCAAAGGGGCTTGTTTGTAGTAAAATTAGCAGAAGTAGTTTATGAAGAATGTCAAGTACATTCTAATGCCCTTATTGAGGAAATATGTAAGGTCTAATAATTTTCAAGATCTTAATACTATGGCAGGTATATATCATGCAAACTGAGGCCAGCTGTAAGGGCAGCAGTTTTCCTCACTCTTATCAAGGAGACAAATACAGGGAAGAAATTAAAACATGGGCACATGAAGGAGAGAGCACACATCTGCCACACTGGCTCTGTATGTTTGGTTTGACAGCTCATGGAGTCTGATGCTTGTTGGTGGTGATTTTCCTTTTAGATAAGGAAGCTGGGGTATGTATTGGAAGTATACAAAAAACTTGTGACAACTCTCTGCTACCAGCAAAAATACTTAATCTGGAGAAGCTGTATCCTCAAGTGGATTTTAATTGGTACTACACCTGTTTCTACCAGATGGTGCTGTCAAATGAATCTGTGTGTTTCTGAAGTTCTTCTCCTCTGTGTAATGTAAATAAGACACATAGGCAACCATGGAATGCCCTAAAAATTCAAGTTTTACTTGACTTTTAAATAACCTGGACACAAGTTTTGACACAGCCATCTATCAAACTCAATTTTAAACAAAGCACACAGTTGCTTCATGAATATTTAACTTAACGTACATAGAGTATACGCATCACATTGATATGTTTATGTAGGTTGTTTTAAAACATCTTTCCAGAGAGCTTTGAATTAAACAGACTTTTCCAAAACAAAATATGCTATCCAGTTCAATATTCAATTGCATGAAGATGATTTGGCAACTTAAATGTTAGTTTTTTGTTTTTGTTTTTTTCTGAACCAACACCTTGCAAGAAAATGAGCTTAACCAGAGTATGAATTGTAGGTCAGCAGTTTTGACAATGCATTGTAGAAAAGGTCAAGGCTAGCTCCTGCCTGATGAAGAAACCAGCTAACGAGCAAGGAGATCAGTCTGGGATATGCGAAAATGCTTTTGTGGTGTGGATAACCAGCCCTCTTTATTGTGTAAAATACTTGTTTTGCTAAGAGGTACATCTGTGTAGTTGGATGTTGCCAGCTAATGGGTGAGACAGATCCGTAGCTTATCTATTCATAGCACTTACTTACAGAAATCTCAGGAGAGGTAAACGCTGAGGCACAAAGTTAAAGTCATTCGCCTGAGATTGCTTCAGCAGACCGGAAGCAGAACCAGGAAGAGAACATCTCATTTCAGTCCTTTGCCCATGTAGGACAAGTCTGTGTAAGACCCAGCCCAAGGGAGAACTTTGCCTAACGTGGTTAAGCATTTCCCATCTTGTGCCTGACGCACAAGGAGGCACCGGGAGCTTCGTGCTCGGACTGCGCAACGCAGCGCTGCTGCTGCTGGGCAGCAAGGGGCCCAAGCCCAAGGAAGCGGGGGAGCGTAGTAACCGCAGGAAGGGCTAGGTGCAGCTCCGAGTTGCTAATTGGCCAGCCACTTGTTGATCTTGTACTCCTGTTGTAGGCTTACGGAGTACAGCTGTAGCATGGTAAGTGCTTTTGGTGATTGATTACTTTTAGATCTCATGTACAAAACTGAAGAAATCACAAGAGGTGCCTTTCCTCAAATGACCCGGGAAGACAAGCTCAAAGGGATTGGAGGTGCATATATACAGAATAACTTTCCTTTTCTGTTCTACTAGCTGACAGTGATGTCCTTGTCTGAATTTTGTCTTGTTCTCACACTAACATGCAATACGTGCAGTAAGCTCAGTCTTTCTTGTACTGAGACAAAATTGTATTGATCCAGGCTGATCATTAGGCTTGTTAAAACGTGATTCTTACACAGTCTCATTGGGAGTAACCACTAATTCAAGTGCAGGACTCTTTCTGCAAGTTTCTCTTTTTTAAAAAAAAAAACAAGTTAGCTTGACTAGAAAAATGCTGTTTTACTACCAATTTAGAATTGAAAAATATGGATACTAGTCTAGACATAAGCCTATTTTCTGATATAGTGGAATAAGTAAGATATCACACATCTAGCTGATGGTATCCATTGATAATATACAAAAGCCCATAGGCAGGAGACAGCATCCAGGGAAACACCAGGTTGGATGTAAGCCTTGTAAGTAACTTTCTTCCTGATCGATAAGACTTGAAGATTGACAAGATACGGACAGCGTGTACAGATATTCTCAAATCATAAGAATGCAAGTACTCCTAAAGTAATAGAGGTGTTCTACTTGCCTCTACCTCAGTAAGGAGACCAGAAGAGAGGCAGTAATTTAGAAAGCAACAAACTACAAGCAAATGTATAAAGCTCCAAGCTTGGGACAGCTTCTTGAAGAAATAAGGAGCAGCTTTGATTCAGGGTACCTTAACCAGTTCTTGTGTGGTTAGTCATAATTTTAGTATTCTTGGGAGTATTCCAAAGGATTGTGGTGATACAGATTAAGCTATAGGACAATGGGTTGTTGTTTTTGTTTAAAGCAATACGTGTGAGAATACTGCTCCAGGTCATAAACAGATCCTAAAGAATCACTGTAAATGGAAAAATGACAATGAAACCATTCATTTCAAAGTTTGGGATACTTTTTAAAAGACTTTTACAAACAGTTTGAGCAATTACTTTAAGCCAAGCCCAACAGTGTCTTAGGGTGATGTCTGTAGTAAATTCAGAAAATGTTGAAGAACCTCTGTGAAAACTACATTTGCTCCAAGCTCTTCCTTACCTTAGGATTGTTCACTGAGACCAAAGGAGAAGCACTATCTGAGATATTTTTCTTTGGACACTTATCTGTCAGGTGAACCTGCCTTCCCTGGAATGGTGCAGTATCTCTCAACCTGCAGACCAGTCCATATTGTCATAGGAACATACAAACTGTACCATTACTACCCTGCATAATGGCATTCATCTGACCACTTCCGATCATTGCAGAGAATAAAGACTCTAAAGATGAAGGGGAAAATAAAACCCCCTATACCAAGGGCACATGAACTACAACAGCTGTTTCCATTGCTGTTTAAAAAATTCAGTATGTAGTTTGGGGATTACACTTAGCAAAGTTCCCTTCATAACAAAAAGGTTTTGCTAAGCTCCTTAGTAAGCTGGCAAAGCGAGGAGGGTAGGCAGTGTACAGACTGAAGACAAATGGAAGAGACATGAATGACTTCAACTATTCATACAAAGCAATAGGACAGATCTAGGCGTCACATCAGGCACGCGCTGGAAGATAATCTGCTCAATGTGCAGCATCATTAAAACTTACTAGTCCTACCTTGACAATAGAATAAAATATAATTATCACACCTGGAATACTGCCTTTGTCATTTTATCACAGAAGAAGTGGCTCAGAGAGGAGTAATAGAGGTCATTGACATTATTCCATATGAAAAGAGATTAAGGCAGGCTTTGCTAATCTAGTTTAAAAAAAGGGCTATTTGCCAGCTCTTTAAATCCTACTCTACAAGTTTTGTTTAACTGATATTTAAGTGCTCTGCTAAGCGGTCTTAATACAGTAGGTCACTTAATACAGTAGGTCAGTACATATCCAGATGTTTCCAGTGTGGTTTACCATAAAGATGTTAGATCTATTCTTATAGTAGGCAATGTTCAATTAAATAGTCCCTGTACACAAAAGGGCATTCAAAATTGCAAACACTTGAACTGTTGAGTGAAAGTAAATCTGTATAATCCCTGGAACTCTCTGCCACAGGGAGTTATGCAGTCCATTATTTCTGAGCTAAAAATTGATTGAGTCAACATTTGTATTAACAACACCAGCATCTGTTGTTGTGCTAAGCTAAAACAAACGTTTTAAGAGCTAGCAATCCTTATGTTTCAGGGTGTAAGTTAATCACCAGATGGAATTGTAAAGATGTTTCTTCCCAAGTCATACTGCATTGCACAATTGGCCAAAAAATATGACTATTTTGATTCCCTTAGAGCATCTGGTCCTGATCATGTTAGTTAACAGTCATTTTTGGAAAAAGGCAATTCAGTTACAGAGCAGACCGTAAAGCCTGTTTTGTTGCAGCAATTTTTTTTTTTCTTTTTTGGAAATGTAACTGCTGATTATTCAGTTTTACTAAGACTTTTCTTTTTGGTTGTCTAATCAGGCAGCTTCTCCTCAGTCAGTCACACCACTAGAGCAGCGTAAGCGGTAAATGCATTGCTTGGCCTTCCCAGCAAGCGCTGCGTTTCTGCAAGTTCTGAGGAAATTGCTATCGCTCCAACTTTAGCTTCCTTCCTTGCACAAAAACCCCCTCTCTGTTTCCAAAGAATAAAATCATTCACCATCTTCGGTTACAGCAATCAAGTCTCTACCTTGAGGCGTGACACCTGTACAGTTTTTATTGTTTTAGTGGTGGGTTTTCCATCCAGGTTGTTAGTGGATAGCAGAGATTTTTCTTCTATTAGGCTGTCTTTAGATCCATTTCGTCTCTGAGGAGAACAAATGAAAATATGTTGCTGAAAACGTATAGCAGAATTTGTATCCCATGTTTTGATAACTGCTTCTGCGACAGCCTTAGACTAAGGATAGAACAATTTACTGATACCAGAAATAGCGAAGTCTGTACATTTGATCAAACACAACTTCTTCCCCTCTTGCCTTCTCCCTCCCCTCCCAGCTGCTGCCCCTCTATGCTATTTGGATTCATATTCCCTGTTCAGGAAATACCAGGACTAATTTTTTGGTATTTGGCCAAATACTGCAAACAAGCGTTCATTAGGAATTAACGGCCACTGTTGTGAGGCATTCCGGGGAAAAGGGAAAAGAGAGGTGCTTGTGGACACTGAACACTGTAACATTAATTCCTTCCAGGGCAAGGAATTCAAGCCAAATAGTATTAGACAGTAACGAAAATAAGACTACGTGATGAATTTTGAACAGGACTCAATACTGCAAGTTACCTATTTCTATAAAGCACTTAAATGTGCTTAGTTTTAAGTATACCACCTTCCTGCTCCCTGCTGGAGCAAGTCCTTGCGAAAATATCAAGGATGGCTCATCTTTTTCAGTTTCCATCATACGCAGGAATACAAATATCCTTAGACTTAATTCCTATCTGACAGCACATGTTTGCTGGCCTTAAAATGAAAAAACCCCAAATCTCTTTTTTATGTTAAAGTTGTTCAAACTTCCGTTATTCTAACTGCTTACAGGATAAAATTGGACATGTTTTACAAGGCGCGTTCTTTGGAGTTTCCACACTGCAGTAGCAGCATGCAGTTTCGTACACTCACATGCTAGATTAGCCGACATGATGGGCGAGAAAGAAATGTGTGTATTCTATTTCATATTCTGCTTTTAGATTTGAAACTACAACACAGATTTCTAAATGACAATCTAGTCGTTTTGGTAAAGACTTATTTTTCTCGCTGAAAACCTATATACACTCTCTTAAGAGGACAACTAGGAATCCTATCTGTTTCTACTAAATGTGTTATTACATAGATATGCCCTCCCATTGCCAATAATGATGATAAAAATCAAACTTAAATAAATAAAAAAGGGTCTAGAAAGAAAACACAATTTAGGAGTCTGCCTATATGAGTGTACCCAAATCGCTAATACATACCAGTAAAGGAACAAAACTTTTCGTAAGTACATGAGAATCCCATAGCATTGTGGGAAAAACCTCCAGGTAAAACAGAAAGCGTTTGTCAGAAGAGAAGCAGCTTGTACCGTTCTAAGGATTTGGAAGCTAGGTAGAAATGTGTCTGGAATTTTCCCTTGTATACATTGGTTTTCCTTTAGTGCACTTGTATAACAGAAGTGCTTGCTTTTTTGATATCATTTCCTTCTCGTGTTTGGAGCTTAATACGACTGACTATCAAAGCTAAGAGATATGTTACCATAATTTATGATAAAAGCCGCTGATGAAGACAAGCTCCGTCCATTTTAAATTTCAATAAGCTGAAAAGAATAACTGTGTTTCAAGCCTGAGCAATCAAGCTCTAAGAACTGGAGGGAAAATGATAATAGACTATCATTACAACTACATCCTAAGCACACGTGCATATTTTCAGTAATTGTGAGAGTTGATTCTCCTCCTGTGGAAACAGGATAGCATGTTAACAAAGCATCAAACTTTAAATAGGAACGTGCCCTCCAGTAGTAGAAGCAGATTTCTGTGGGAGCATACGCTACAGAATTCAGTATATTTGGAAATGTAAACAAAGTAGTCAAACTGCAAAATGTAAAGCTTCCAGTCACATTGGTTAAAAAAAAAAAAAAAACAACAAAAAACCGAGTCAGCTTTCATTTTCACTGAAAGATAAAGATTTAATGTAAATACAGCACTGGACCCCTTCTCCCTCCAAAAAAGGAAAATTTTCACAGATGTGCAATTACTAACCTGTTGAGTCAACTGGATGCTGGGTCCTCTAGCATCTGAGGAACGTGTCACAGGCAGTGGAGGCACCAGATCCGTTTTTGCACTGGAATTATAAAATGATATTACAAAATAGATATCGCTGTGATGAAGTATACCGCAACAATACACAAGAAGCATATGAACCTGACCCAGCTGGTTACGTAAAGACACATCAAGGAATTACAGATCTCAAAAGCAACTCACTGCCTATCCCCTAACTTGAGATGGCTGAAAGCTATTGTGGCCACTCTCAATATGCAGTGGGGAGAGGCACCTTCAGGGCACGGTTCACCCCTTCTCTTCTTATGAAGCCTCTCTCCTCCTAGACTAAGAGAGAGGGCCCAACTTTATTACTTTATGTGAGATGAGCCTCATCCTAAATCGCAAGTGTGCCCCATCTCCTTCAGGGCATCACCAGCTCGCCTCCTGTGGGCAGCACAGGAACAGAGAGCAGGAGCCGTCCAGCAAGCCCAGGACATCCTTCTCCCAAGGCAGAGCGCCTCCCCTGAAACGCCTCAACCTACTTCTCTGTACTTTGTGCTGGGGCCACAGGGAGTGATGCAGCTATGTATAGGGGGGTGGGGGGGGAGGGGAGGACCTTAGGTGGGCGATATTTTCAGGGAACTGCTTTTGTCATTTCAGGCCTTAATATAACTGAGAATGGGGCTTCTTCTTCTCCATGCACAGCTATTCCCTTTAGAAATTGGTCTTCTAGGAAAGACTGACAAACCCACTGCTGAAGAAGGGTGTATTGGAGTTCCCACGAAACACACTCCTGCAAATGAGCAGCTCCACGCTGTTAAGGATGTAGGTGTTTGGAAAGTGACTCATATGAGCTCTCAGAGGTAGGTCATGAAGTTGCCTAAGGGAGGAGGAGCGGGGCAGGTTTCATTTGGCTTTTTCAGTTTTTCGCCCTCTCTACGGAGCGAGTCAAGCAAGCCTCCATGGCTCAAAATAGACTACAAATGTTTTTGCACTTCGTTGAGTTATTTAGCTCTGAAGACTTACTGCTTACAGGGTTGCCTGAATCCTATGTCAGCAAACAATCACAAACATGCCACTTCTAATCTAAGCATGATCTCTGAAGAACATCTGTGACCCATTTAAAACAATCCATTGCTAATAATCACTTGCACATACTTCACTTCTGACAGAACAGATCTTTCGCCATCAGAGCACTGGGAGCGCCGATACTGCCGGTAGCTTCGAGGGGAATGCGAATGTCTAATGCGAATTGGGTCACCTTGAGTCCTAAGTGAGAAACAGTAGATTAAAAAATCAGAGCTTTGGCACAAAAAAATAAACACAACTTCAGACTGAGACACCCCTCCGTTTCTTATTAAAGTATAACAGATGGCTTCTTGCACTGTCTGCACTTAAAAGGCTGATGCTTTCCTTATGAGTCTGTACTTACAAGTTAATGCTTTAAAAGTGTAAAGGTCACTAAAACGGCCATGTCATTGTGTTTGAGAATGAAACGGTTTAATAAGGGATGTATTAAAATATACAGCGCTAACATCAGCCTTTTTTGTTAGTGGTGTTGTGGAAGAACACTATAATATAAACGGATCCCATTTGTGTCACAGGCAGCTGCTTGCACTAACACATGGCATCCCAAATGGGCAATTACGGGGAAATAGATGTCCGTTCTGAAGGAAATGGCTATGCCCTGGCAGCTGCCCATGATAAGCCAGGGAAAAGGGGTTGAGCAGGTCAAACAGTGCTTTAGATGATCAGAATAAAAAAATTAAAAGGAAGCAGAAGTTTAAGAAAGAAATGGGCTTGCTTGTTTGTATTCAATTCTCCCTGATTGTGTACTACGTATAACATAGAACGGATTGAAGGGTGGCATAGGGAGACACATCGAACGTACATACATACAGCAGGCTGATGAGCGAGTGGCATAGGAAGAGCTGAAGACGATTCTTTTTGTATTTGGGAAAGGGAAAATGTTAGCTTTAAAAATTATTTAGTATCCTCACCCAACCCATCCTGATAAGCGTTTTGAGAGGATAAAAACTTACGGATTATGTGTAGCCCACTCCTACTTCAGTTTGACAGAGTTCACAGTAAAAGAAGAAAAGTGGGCTTTTGTATTTCCAAAGAAAAATGCTGACACAAACTCACTCTACTTTAGTGTATGGGATTTCTTTCAATTGCTCCTCAGACAGGCCAGATGGATCCACAAGTTCCTTCCTAGAAAGAATTAGGCAAAGTTAATAATATTACAGTAGCTAGCAACTACATAACCATTCTTTTTTATTATTATTATTATATTAAGCTGGAAAGATCTACCTAAACAAGCTGTTTTGAGCCCTGAAGCTATATTGACATCAAAATAGGAAACCTATTAAGAACTGTGTCTAACTACCTTGATAGCTTCAACTGCAGGTCGCATCCTCTTTCATCCTCCTCTCACCTCCTCGTAACCTGATCTTGTTGCTTCACGATATACGTGAATATTGTGAATACTGAACATTGAATATCCTTTGGAATAGGTCATTATCTCCCTATTTGGTAACAGTATGTACGAGGATAAGAGGCCTCATCCTAAAAGTGTCAGTATTAAAACCAAGGACATTTTGGAAGCCCCACAAGAATACATCTCTAAAATATCGCATTTTTCTTTAATTCATCTACATATGATGAATACACACTGTATTCAGTGGTGTGAAGTATCTTCTACGCATAGCCAAGTGAAGTAATTTACACCTGTGTAATTAATGTACTGTGGCACATAACCAAATCAGAACATACTGCTTTATAGCCACAGCGCAAGGAGCGTGAATAACTCTACTGGGGCAATGCAGTGGTCAGTCAGACCCTACGAGGACAGTACTTACTGAATATGTTTCCACAGTTGTTCTTTAGCTTGTACATCTGGGCTTCTCCTACAAAGACCGAGAAAAACAAACAACGCAGAACTGTGAAAACCACCATCTGAGGTATTGCCGCTCAAATAACTTTTAATGGCATACATTAAGCACAGAAATTATGGCAAGCGTAATCCACTAGTGACTTCAATTTTAAAGTTTGTTATCTTGGGAAATATACTAAACTTCATTGCTTTATTGGAACTGAAAAGTCATTTCTTGAACGAGAGGCTCTGAGTAAAATCACCATTTCTGTTCCACTAGCCTTCAGCAAAAGTACGCGCAAAGCATTAATGGCAGAACAGGTTCTCCCTGCAAGCCAAAGCTGTGCCCACCTGCTGCTGCCCCCTTAGCCCCCAGCCCAGCTGAGGACAGTGTGTTTTGGAATTACTCCTTTTAAAGGAGTAATTCCTGAGAAACACCGGGGTGGCCCAGTGAGCCCTCTGCGGGCAGGAAGCAGGTCGCATGGGCCAGCCAGGCCAGGCCTGGCCAAGCCGGCAGGAATCCCTGCCCATTCCCAGCGGGCCCCAGGAAAGAGGAGCTCTCGCTCAGCTCTCATCGCAGCCTAGCCTCAGGCTTGCTGGTGCTTTGCAGGTAAGGTTTCTGCTCTGCTCGTTTATACTTTGACTTGGCGACATCTAGGACAAATGCGACAACAGCGATCACACTTACACACAAACACGCAAAAATTTTAGCAAGTATTTCATTCATGGATATATTGCTTAGCCAAAATTGTAATTTTTCTGTTGCAGATATGGAGATATAGTACAGAAAGCCTGAATTACATGTTTCTCATCTTCCAGCTAATTACAGAAAATACTGTCTCCTAACTAGACTGTCCTTTCTTTTTATTTTTCTTATTCTATTTCATTGCAAGTTTAACATGAAACCACCGCTGTTGCTGAAGTTACACCTAGAAACCACCAAAAACCATGCAGCTTAGTGGATTAAATAGACGCTTTACACAGTGGCAGGGACTACAGTGTATGAAGAGATCAGATCGCTCTTTTCATTGCGACTACACAACTTCAGCGTAGACAGCTAGACTGTTCCACGTCCTCCGAGATGCAAGGGAGGCAACTTACAAAAGGATCAGCGTGCCTAAACGCTCCCACAGAAGTCACGGTTTCATCAGATCATATACATTTGTGCTTTTTGCTTTTTTTTTTTTTCCCCCCTTTAAACAAAAGGGCCCATCATAGTCAAAGATGCTTTTGGAATGATATAATCCACAGACTTAAATGAAGATCAAGGAAGAGAGCAGGATTTTGCCTTTTTGTTAGTTGTAAAGCATCTGTTAAATTGACTCTCCATTGCTCAGTGAGAGAGCCATATCAGAGATTATTCCAAACTGTTCTCTCTCACTAATTGTTTTACTATGTTTTTGTTTCACCATTACATGTTTGGCTTATTTCCAGACTTCAGTCTGGGAATAATGTTCAGAGACATCTGTATTTCAGTAAATGTTTACAGATGGCATAGAAGCAGATTATCTAGAGATGATAATTTTTTTTAGATTTCACAGGTGTAGAAGTCCTGGAAGATCCTAGTTTAATACTGTAAAAATACCACAGAGAGAGAAAGGCAAGAAACAACTTTACATCTGTAATTCCCTAATGGGACTAATATAAGCTAATCCATAACGTTCTCAGGCTTCATGCTAGTGATGGTGTTCAAAGGCAGCATCGCGCAGACCTCCTCGCCCCCTCTGCCCCGGGGATGCGTCCTGTCCTCCTGTCAGACCGCTCTGCTGTCTGCTCCGACAGGCCAGGGCATCTGCATGAGGGCATCTGCAGCCATCAGGTGCAAGAGCTGCAGCCACAAGTAGCTTGCAATCTGATTTCTTTTTTTTTTTTTAACAGCATTAAGAGGTTTTGATGGCTTTGCGCGTTTGTGTTTAGTTTACTGTATTTCATTTTCTCCGATTCTCCCTTCTCCTCTTTCCTTCTCTCTTCTTGCTTTTACTTCTTTTTACTCCCCTTCTTCCATCAGTTCACATTATTTTTAACTCCCTGAGGCAGGAGCTTGGTATGCAGCGGTTTCTAACAGCCTTTTTTGCCCCCAACTTTGAATTGATTTCTGCTTCTATGCAACCCCCTACTCACAAAATAGCAGCTGCAAACCCCGCATTCACCCTGGGGCTGGGAAGATAGGCATCCTCTTCTGAGACTGAATAATCAGGCAGTGGGGAATGCGACAGCTCACTGAAAACGGCAGCTCCTCCAGGGAGGCTTTGTAATGCTTACAAGCCCTAGTTTGCCTGAGGAAGGAAAGCCCCAAGGTCACTCCCAAACCCAGGGTTCCCACAAAGCAGGGTATTGTGCACGCCACTAACCCATCTGATTAGCTCATTGCCCGTACTTATTCATGAAAATACACCAGTTCAGGATGCGGTCCTAAGTCTCCCTGTGTCACTGAACATGGCACACGGCCTCACCTGCGGTAAGAAATACTAACTCGTGGAGCAGCGTGGGAAGAGAGCGGTTAAATAAGAAGTTGCCTTCATCTCACCATTTTCTAGGAATTGTGCCTCCTGCTTTCTATGGCCAGCTCTGGGTGCTGAATTCTGTGACCTCTCCCATCCTCTCCCTCCTCCTCTTCCTTCCACCTCTGCAACTACAGTAATAAGGGAACCATTGCCGTAAAACACCAGTAGAGCCAAATATGGCATCTCATGAAAAAAAAGCATGAAGGAAAGGCGCTATGCGCAATCATTGCTCAGAGCAAACTGTTTTTAGGAATTCGCATCTTGACGTTATCCATCTTCCAGCAGTTTAAGAAGCCTTTAAGATACTGGGATAACCTCATAGCAGCTATTCAAGTTAACTCCCCACAAAAGAACATCCAGAAACATGATACAGATACTGTATCTTAATACAAGTATTTTTTTCACCAAAGGCCTGATTCTGCTTCCTTGGAAGACAGCAGGAACAGTATCACTCTAAAATGAAGAAAAGCTTATGAAAAGAGAGGCTTTGTTAGGGTGAAATGTAGGCATTGTAAATACTGAATAGGAAACTCATGTTTGTGTAGTTCTCAACAACACATAAGGAGGAGATCCTTCTACTAAAACTTCAATGCCAGATCACAATCCTCCTCTTACACTCTTTTCACTTTTTTTTTATTGTGAATCGTTTTAGCATCCAGACTTTGGACAGATAATATATATTCGGATTGTCTTATTGCAGTATCTGAATCAAATTTTGAACAGATAACAGCTTCTGGACAATTTGTAAGCTAATCGGATTCTCAAATGCGCAAGACACCTAATGGGAATTCACAGTAAGTGGTGAGTCTCCAGGGGTTTTTTTTGTTGTTGTTATTTGGTTTTTACAAGCGCAAACAACCCTAGACGTTAATAAGGTCTACATTATTTTTATGTCTGCATCTGCACCCTTATTAATAATTCAATTTGATTTCGTGATTCACAAATGGTAGATTTAAATAGCCATGGAATTTTAATGACCATTCTTCTTAATTAAAAAAGCCCTTTGGCTATGCAGATGTTTTACTTGAACTCTTGAAAATAAACCCCGTAGAACTAGAACTGGGAGCTTTCTATATTTGCTGTTTCCTTTAGAAGAAAGAAAGGTCAAATTCTTGTCAAATATTTTTATTCCTGAGACCAAGGAGAAACCCCCTGCCACACACACACACACACACACACACACACACACACACACTCACCAACAATGATTAATATTACTCGTTATCAAACACATGAAATGCAGCGTCGTGCCAGACACGGTAACAAAAATTTCAACCTTCAGGCTTCCAAGATGAACCTCTAGTTAAGCTGACAGCAAAACATAACCTAATGTGAAAGACTTATTTGTACTATTAAAATGAAGGTTTTGTGTCAATTGTTAAATGTGCGAATTGAAGTGACCATGTGTCCAGATTAAAAAATAGAAACGACCATACCCTATACCCTAGGGATTCACTTGTTTCCCTTCTCTCTAACATGCATACAGTCCTGTAAGCAAACAGCTGAGCCAAACTAAACTCAATAAATGCTCTTATAACCTACTGCAGCTAGGGTTTATCCATCTTGTTTGATTTGACTGTTCAAACAGATAAAACCCTTTTACCAGACTTTTTTTTTTTAAAGTACCTTTAAAGGCATTCAAGTTTTCCCTTTTTTAGCTCATACTGACATACATTAAGCGAGGCACACAAAAGTGAGGAGTATATTCATCACTATCACAACAGGAGAGAGAAGAGAAACGAAGAGTTACCTAAAATCTTAAGGGTTTCCTCCTTTCTTTGCTTTCTCTAGGACCTTGCCTTGTTACAATAAAGACATACTACACCTTTATGCTTTTTGCTAATAGTATTTTTAAAAAATATATAATCCAGAATATCACTGCGCTGGCTAGTATTTTCGGGAGGGAAGAAAAAATGCATTTTGTAAGTTGTTAGCCGCAAGAGGGAGCCTGTGCTGTCTAAGCAATAAAACTTACCTGGCACAAGGAAGAAAAAAAAGTTGGCTATAAATTTCATCTAACCATGCTCTCATAAACTGAGTGCATTTCCTAGTTTATAGCACTTTCTGTATATAGTACAAAAATGTAAATCAAACAGTGTTATATTTGCACCTTTAATAGGAGTGAGTTTTAATATTTCTTATTTTTAGTAATATATCGTCCTACAATAATAATATTTGACTTTTGTGCAGTTGAGAGCGAACAGGTCTGTACAAAACCAGTAAAAGTAGAAATTCCAACATTTGGAATTTTAATAACAAATACTGTTTCTCATAAAAGTAGTAAAACTGTAAGCTAGGAAGCTGGAGATAAAAAATGGGTTCTAACAACGTGGGTAACTATGAGAACAGAACTCCAGTGGATTTTAATACCGGAAACATCAATGCAGATTACAGTTTCAATAGGTAAGAATAAAATAGCCGTATACTTAATATGGTGTATGTTCCTAATATGCTTGCAGCTGATTTCCTCAGAAACGGGGTGAATAAATCTTTCCAATCACAAATAAGCATTTATAACAATATATCTTTTAAATTTAGCTATATCAACACAGCCTTCTAAGAAACAAACCCCCTTCCTCCCCTCATGCTTCCTTTAGAGGCTTATTGGGAGCGTGTGGGGCTGACAGTGAAAATTACTATTCCCCTCCCCACTTAGCTATAATAAAATTCCACTGATTAAATCAGGGAGAATCATCCTTCCCTTCATGAGGCTAAGTATGTTCTTTGTATGAGGAACTAAAAAGGGACAAGACGCATTCTCTACATTTTGCTGGAGGCAGTGATTTCTATCCCTCCTTCTTTTGTGTCCACGGGTCAATAAAAGTACGAATCTTTGCTCTCCCCTAACACCATGCACGCACGGGATTGTCAGGAACCCCTGGGCACTTCTTCCCACTTGGGAAATGCAGCAAAGCCAAAGTCCTTGAAGAGATTCAAATCTGCATCCTAGAATTTTGTTACAAATATTTCATTCTTCTTCAAACTATACTAAAATGCTTACTAAGGCAAATAAATTTAGCAATTCAAGGCCTTACAGTTTGTGTTGGTTAGTCGTAACATGGAAGGCAAATTAAAAGAAAAAAAAAGGCATTGAGGAAAAGAAACTATGTTAAGTGATTATACTGGGTTACAACGGTCACGCGTTAAGCCATGGGCTTCAGAGCTGGACAACTCATCTATTTTAGCAAGGCAGTGAGAGCGGGGATATAGCTTCAAAGACTGCTCTTTTGCCTGGTCTCGCAGTGCCTTCGTAGCTGCTCTCCCGGCATTCTTGAACACATCGCCCAGCCCTGTCCCCAGGGCTCCCTGACACTGAGGCTGCTCTAGGTGGTTTCTCCGGTGGTACATTCGGCTGGAACACACACAGTCCAAACCAATGTGTCTAAACCCCCCAAACATGCCATTAAAAGAAAACATAGTTATAATAAAATGAGTATTTTTGTTCGTCTGAGAAAATTAATTCTAGAAACCGACAATTTCACCATGTGGGGAATGGCTATCGGTAGGAATGGCACTGCCTAGCAACACGGCTCTGTCATGGAAATCCTGACATCAGGACCTAATAAATCACCGGCCGCTGCTTACAAATGGTAATTTGACATGGAGACTTCAGTAGCTGGTCTCATCTGGAATAACACTGCAGACATTACACTGATTAAAGAAACGCACACACATTTCACAAAAACGCCTGCACCTCTCGCACAAAAACAGAATGTCTTTGCAGAGATGCTGCACAGAGCAGGGGCATCGCTGTCCTCATTACAGAATTGAGGTTCAGTGAGCCACAAAACAGTGCAATACCTCATCCAAGGTCATGGAGTTGGTTACTGGCCAAGTCTGTTACAGAGCCTATTCTGCGTTACTCGTACCCTCAAATTCAAATCACTAAAGCAAAGGAGGCCACAGAGAGACAAATCTGCTATGTGAGAACATGCCAAGTGAAAGCCACTGTTCCTGAGTAACTGCGAGGAATAACTATACTGGAGATGCTCTTCCTACTTTTTAACGTGCTACAGCAGCCTTAATGTTCAAGTCAAAGTGGGCTAATTTTACATACGATCGAGATCTGTGCCTGGATCGACGGTAGTTCGGATCTGCCTGGTTTTTCTCCTTTTGTCGCCGCAGCACGGCTTCCCACTGAGGAGCTGAGTCAACCATGTCATTCTCTTGCCGTAACCTGCAAAACAAGTACCAGGACTTTAGTCTTGAGGTCTCCGTCCCAGGTCGTTCTGAGAAAGAAACGGGTTATTTTTTTCCTTGCAGAATTCCAGCTACTATTATGCAATATTTTAACTTTTTATCTTGCTATATTTATAAATAATGTTCCCAAAATATATTAAAGCATAAGAACCTGTATCAAAGAGAATTCACTGATCTGTTATTTAGAAATAGCTTAGGCCAAAGATGAATCACTCCAGGACAGCAAAAACAGGCCTACGACTTGAATTCAATTTGTCTTCTTGGCCCAAGCCGAACGGCTGGAATTTTTTCCTTCCTCTATTTAGCTTTTCGAGTTCACCTCACCTACAGCAAGTAGAAGTCCAATATTGTGATACACGGCTGCAACTTTTTTCAAATGCATCGTTGCAGCACACACCTTCATGGGACCTCGGGAAAATGCCCCAGGGACGCCCTGAGCAAGCTCCCGCTCAGAGGAAGCGGTCCCTTCGCCCTGACCTGCAAAACAGCCCATGACGACCACCGTCACCTGTGTGCCGCACTGCCCTCTATGTGCCTCCGGCCCCTGTTTGCGTTGGTGTGGTTGTGCCCGGTGCCTCCGCATCAAGCCTTGCTTGCCCCATCCTGGAACGCCTGTACAACAACTTCCCCCTCCAACCGAGACTCAGCAACCCCTACAGGCCTCCCCGGTAAGCACCTCTGGCCCAGGGAACACCCTGCTCCGTCCAAAGGAGAGGAGAAAACCCACCACCAAGGCATCAAAATCCACCTTCCAAAGAGACACAGATAATCTCGTCGTTTTATTGATCTGAGAGAGATGCAAAAAACTGAGGGGCGGAGAAAGCCGTTAAAATCCGGGCTTCCCAAAAGCAGGTCAGCGTAAAGCAAAAGAGCCCATCGCTGACAGGGAACCGTTCTGCTCAGAGGTTTAGATTAGCTAGCTGCTAACGCAGCAGCTGATTTGAAGAGGCAGACGGGAAGGTGAAATCCTCAGTCCCGTGAATTATTTCCTATCATTAAACGATCCAAATCATTTAGAAATAAGAGATTCCAATGTTAGGCTATTTTCAGATGGGATATGATATTCTTTTTAAATAAATCCATGAATCCATTATTGGAACGCAGTGCAAATTAAAATGCAAAATCACATAAACTCAGCATGTTCAATAGCAGGCGGAGCTAACTGCAATGACACAACAAGCCAGAACAATCAACGTGCCACTACCCGGCCATTCGAGACTATACAGAAGCCTCGCAGTTTGGGGGATACAGATATGACTGCTGTAATAAGATGCTAAGGTGAAACCAATGGCTGCGCTTGGTCACAGCACCGAATTTAGAAATCAGCAAAAATTGAGAAACAACCCTGGAAAATATCAGTCCAAGAGCGGGCTGTCTGGTATGACAGCGTGACTGGCGCATTGAAGAAGCCAGAGTAGCGTAACAAGAATGGGAAGACTGACAGGTAAAACAAACAAACCAACAGAGATAAATGGATTACAGCAGAGACTTTACTCCCTAGGAAATGCAAAGTATGTTATTGTTCTTGCTCTTCACCACCTCTACGTCTTTCCAGTTGAGTTTTGAATTGTATCAGGCTAAACTGGCTAAGCAGGCTGCCGCTTTTCCTTTGATCAGATCCTTCTCTCACATGCGTAACGATTTTGAGCCGGATCCCCAACTACTGCAAAGCCTCACAACTCTACCAAACGGCACCAAGCATCTGGAGTAGACCACAGCGCTAGGTTTTGATTTCTAAGCAACTTTTTTTCAACCTGTAATCTGCTAGTGACAGGGATTAACATAAGCTTCTATCTGCGGATTTAATACAAGAACTCACACAGCAACAAGTAACGAACTGCAATTTTCATCCCGAATAATCCAATTTGTGGAGGGAGCAATCGTGCCCCGCATGGTATAAACACTACCAACTGCCTTGCACGTACGGCAGTCGCTTCAACCTGCACAGAAAGAACGCGTAGGGCTGCCGGATCACAACTGCTGCGCTGGATGCTTCTTCTGCCCATTTGTCAGTCCCTTGCCCAGTCCCCCTCAAGGACTAGCACCTAACGGGACAAGCAGACAGCTAGGCTCTGAAGCAGACATTCGGATGCTGACCATAAAATAATTGCGAGCTACCCAAGAACCGCACAGCACGGCGGAGCATGACGCCCGCGCTCCAGCACAGCGCGCACGAGATTCTGCGCCTCCCCGACAAGCACTGGAAATTACACTTCTGTGCTGACCACACGCTTTGTCGATCTGCTTTTGATGAATGGCCTCTAATTAAAGGAGTAAACACATCATTTCTGCTCTGGGCCAGTCTACTAATGGAATCCCTCGGGGCTACAAGGGAACAAAACTGCAGTGATAACAGAAAAGCGCTCTTCTGCACAGCTAAAACTCTCCCTGCTCTAAAGGTAAAGGAGGACAAAATAAAAGAAGAAATGACTTCAGAGAACATAATAGCTGGCAACGTGGTTTCCAGCAAAATTCAGCCGGAACCAACAAAAATTCAAATGACATTGTCCAGTGTCATTTCAAGACCATTTTTTAAACAAAACACAGCAATAAACAAGCAAACAAAAACAAACAGTATCACTACCATTGGTATAAGATGGTTACGGAAAAGAAATCTTTGCTGATGCTGGGATAAGAGCTCATTAACAGATACGCCTCCGGTTAGGCCACACTGATCCCAGCATGCGGAGATTTGAAGTCTTCATTAGGTTCTTCTTTTAAATGGGTTTCACTGACTCTGTTGCCTAACACCGTCTCCAGTGGAGTCCATATTTCCATATCGTGTTCACACAGTCTTTAGGTGATGACTCCACTGCACCCTGGACATTTGGGTTCAGTAATTTCCAAGAGTGAGTTCAGCACACAGATGTCGTACATGACTACCTTTAGACATTCCCTTCCTTAGATACAGGAGACTGAAGATGAAGAAGAGTCCTGCAGCAAAACCCTGCTCTTTGGTAAGAACACAGGCAGGAAGTAACTCTTCTCCCAAATCCAGGACCACTGCAAAATGAGATTTTCTTTCTTTGAGGTTTATTTCCATTCTATTACACTGCAATATATTTCCCCTGCATAACCTCTTATGGAACTAAAATTAAGAAAATGGAAACTAAACCTTTAGCTGGTGAAACTCAGGATATTGCAGCTTTTGCTTCTTGTAAAAAAACACTGAGAAGTTTTAGCATCAGGTATTGAAAGAGCAATCATGTCCTAACTGTCGACAAGAGAAAGCAGAAGTCTGAGCCAGAAATTTTGTAAAACTGCATACTCTTGAAGTCAGACTTGCAGATATTTCATTCTGTTCCTGCCTCAGCCCTCTACACGTGCTTCAAATTTTGATCACATGCCCACACTGCAATCCCATTCTCCTTTAGCATTTCTTTGCCCTCCTAAATAAATTTACATCAGTTTTATACATATGTTCACATATTTCTTTGAAAGAACGGATGCGAAAAAAAATCATTTAACTTTCAGACTTTCTCCATTTTTCAACCTTCTCTGCCTATAAATTTTCTGCACTAGGACTTAGAGGTCTATTGTTCCCCACAGTGATCTCTTGCTACGTATCCCCCTGAGAAAGCAATACTGAGGACTTATTTGACTCCTGAAATCCCATTCAAAATATACTGGAGCGTACAGCTACTATTTATTTACAAATGTGATGGATCTTCCAAGTATAACCAAGTGGAAGACTATTTTCCAGTATACGCTGTCTACTACTCAAAGATATTTTTATCTACGCAATGCATTTTGACCACAGCATTAAAAAAAGCAAACGTGTTTCTTCTACAATTTAAATATGCTCACCATAGGTTCTTTTTCAACTACTTATGAACGTTTGCTCAGGATAAAATATTCATACGATGGACTGAAATCTCAAAGGTTGACCGAGATTAAGTAAACAGTTTCTCTCCAGCCTTTTTCCACTGTTTCACCTTCAGAAGGTCACAACTGCATTTCTGTTTTTCCCCAGTAGATCTGTTTTCATCTGAGAGTTACTTCCCAGTGATCTCCCCTCATGCGAGCAACATATTCTACTCTTCTGTGATCAGAATCAGATTCTTCTGGAGAATGTGAGAATCAGGCATTTTATCCCAATCACAAACAGCACAACTTTGTGTCTGCTTGTGCCATGGGCCTGATTACAGGACTGGGAAATAAATTTGTTTTAATCTATGCCACAGATAAAGCCTGAGCAACAGCAGTGCAACCCTCCCGGTATTGTGCCATTTAACTGTGTCAGGACTGGCTCACGTCTTCTAATAAGAAAGCAATTCAAATGTCTGTGCCCATTCAGTGTATTATATTCCTCCTGTGGCTGCTAACGAAATGCAGAAATTCATTATGACTGGTAGTTTTCATGCACCTGATGACAAGGGGCAAGTCTCAGATGACCGGCTCGTTTTGTGCTTGTTTACTCTAACACTGAAATGACTTTTGATCTCGTCCGACTTCAAGCGACCACCAAGGGGTAGGAAATTCTGCAATATTAATTTTTTTTTTATATTTCTTACATTCCTGAAAATGTCAAACAGCATAAAAACACCCATTACACATACTAAGTCTTTTTTTTTCTTTTTAATTTTAAGCACTTTGGCAGGAACTGAAGAAGGGTAGGTAAAGGTTCTTTTATTCTTCAAAAAATGATAAGCCCTACTTAATCGTTTTTACAATTCATTCCTTATATTGCAAGAAGCTCTTAAAAACATTCTTGTGGTCAGTCTCTAATTTCCTTCACTTGCTTGCGGAGCTTTCTGAACAACAAGTTTCATAGGGGAAAAAACTATTTACCTACTGCTCACTGAAACTTAAACTCAGTATTTCATTCAAGCTTCAGAGCTCTCCTGGAAAACAAATCTTCCACACGCACTAGGTTATTGTTACCCACATATCTCGCAAGACTCTGCTCTGATTTAAGCAAACTCTAAAGAAATCTCATGGCTCAGCTATGCTTTTTCTGAATGTTAGCATTTTTTTTAGCATCTCTACCTACTGCAAGTCATGTCTAAATTATTATTATACTACATACTTCTGCGGCACTTTACAAACAAGACACATTCCACTGCTTTAACATATCTAGCACATAATTATTTCTAAGAGCTTCGAAATATCTCAGAATCACTTATCATTCACAGCACTGCATGAGAAACAATAAGCAGTTATGGCAGCTTGTGCAGAGAGCTTTTTTAGAAATCTGCATTAAACAATTCCTCTTTTGTCAAATGACAGTTCTACTATGTTTTGTTTATGCAATATGAAGTAATTCTATAGGTTTAAAAAATCAATTTTAATACATAACTCTCAAAATGCTGTCATCTCCAGTGGGAAATAAAAGTGGCTGCTTTAACGGAAAAAAATTGCCACAATCAATTAGTAGTTAAACAAGGCTTCTCTTATCAGCAATAAGAAAAATAAACATAAAAAACCAAAACTGGCTAGCATCACCGAGTATTAACCGCTGTTATCCTACTAAAAGCTGACACTGTACATATTTTGGGTTTAAACCCACTCTTCACATTTTAGAAAACAAAGAATATTTTCCAAAATTTAATATATGGATTTAAAAACAGCAACAAGTTGTAGAGCCCTTCAAAAACACTTTGAGGATTCTTCCCCAAAGCTTATTTTCTGCTAAAATTCTACTTACGAAATTTTTGAGGTGCCGAAGTACATGCTGGGAATATCATCTCATCACCATTGTCCATTTTATTCGCATTAGTATTTCAAGTCTCTTATAAACGTGTGCCAGTATTTGATTTTACAATCCATTAACGAGTTCTTCCCAAACATGTGGATGACTGCAGACATCTACAGTGTTTATCTACTTTGGTAATTATTTCTCTTTTTATTCAAACACAGGCATTAATTAAGCTACCTCAGGAGGACTGCACACAAGTAAAACAGGTTAGATTGTTTGTTTGTTTTTTACCGGAGCTACCATAGAAGAACCCACGCTCCATCTGTTTATGTTTCATGTTTCTATGTCTAAAATACAGAATGGTCACCTGTTTCTCTTCTTCCGGTGTTCTCTGGTAGAGTTTTCTGATTCACTGCCGCTGCTGGTGTTACACCGAGACCGCGATCTGGAGAGGAAGAAAGCAAGGTAGGCCAGGTACTAAGCATACAACTCGTATTTTAGTTGCTCTCTCTCTCAAAATCAATTTATCTTTTAATATCTTGCAAGCCACAAAACAGAAATGGTAAGTGCTCATTCTCACTTGTTTTCTACTGTTACAATATTACAGAAGTACCAAGATTCTGAACAAGGAACAAACAATATTGAGAAAACATTATTAGCAAAATCAGGACTAAGGAAGAGTTTAGAAGGCTTGTCTAAACCTGAGAGCCTCATGGTCTTTCTCTCATTACTTAGGAATAACTGCTTTAAAGGTGGCGCGCCCAGAGAGCACTGTCAGGTGAGTGCTGTTTTCCTTTTAAATCATTGCACTACGTTTTCGCGTTTTTTATTTAAGCTTTCAGCATTCTTTGTGTATATGCCACAGGGAAACGTTGCTTTGAAATGTGAAATGTTTTGCCTTTAAATGGTATCCATTCTGCCATTCTTCTTACTCCACACAGCGGGACATCCAACAGAAGCTACACAGTAATTCTGATATTGGCAAGCAAACTAAAATGTTTACCGCATCTCTTTTTCTATTCAGCTCAACTTCCACCTGGCTTCTGCAAGTTTCTATCATTTCCCAAGCGTCAGGCAGCATGGAGGAAACGCCACTGAACACTGTGATTCTGCTGTCTTCATAAATATAGAAAGGCTGAAGTGCACAAGCTTGCAGATGCATCCGCACAGCTTTGAGATGACTCAAGGAAAGATGGTGCAACACGTGAGGGAAAAGGAAATAAAGCACTGGCTTCTTGTATATCCCCTCTGATTGCGAAGCTTCAAATGGTAAGGTGACATTTATGGCTCTGAATATTTATTACTGAAACAGACTGGTGGTACAAGCTGATTCAAAAGTAGACAGACAACACTGACAGCTGAACTTCAAGAAGAAAATATCACCGTCTTCAGAACTGTTACGAGAATTCAACCTGGAGCTGGAGTCATGGGGATACACCTACCTACACGCAAGCTCCCCTCAGCACGGGGAAGTGCTTGGCAATTACTATCTAAAAGCTTTAAATCCTCAGTTGCCACTGATCGACATTTTGGAGCAGACAGACCAGCTGTCAGGGCTTTGGTTCTAGAAACCAGGATTTTGTTACTGCACTGTTGGGCTAGGTCCTAAAAAAATGGCACTATATGAGAGGATCTCTGGGGTTATCAAAAACTGTTTTGGACCATTCTTTACTTAGTGCAACGATGGTCTCAGAATGCCTCCAAAGACAGACACGTTCCTCTGCGGTGCTGATGGCCCAGGTGATTAATGGGGAAAGTTTACCAATACTAATGTGAGCTGGCCTCGGAGAATATAGTTTATCAGGAATTAGAAATGCTGATGTTTTTGCTGCAATGGAAAGTGGAAGTTTTGCTCTGTGAGGTCTCTGGGAATGAAATAAGAGAGAAAAAGAGATGACTCCTGCTGCCACTGACAAAGATGCAGATGATCTTGTTCCTCCTGGCTTTTTCTTTCTTTGACGAGCCACTTGGGAAAGAGAGTAGACTTGTTAAACAACCCTCAGATAAGCTGAAGAGTGAAGGCAGGTCAGCAGGGTAGGTAACAGGTAAGTGGAAGCGTTTCACGCCAAGGCCGGGCACTCCTGAGGAGCACCTGCTCACCGCATGGTCTGACCGCTCAGGGAGAAGAGCTCAAAGAGGAAGTCAAGAGAGATTCCCCAAGAAATACAATAGCCGAAGAGCTGACCTCTACTCAGTGTCATCATCACTCTAGCCTCTGCCTTTAAAAGTAAGACACTGTTATAGGTGTCCTTCTGTCAGAGCTGACAGGCTCATGAATCTGTCCATAGCAGCTGTGAATTATGGTTAGTTTTATAAAATTGCTGTGTCATTAAATGCCTCAGAATCTATGGAATCAAAAGCTCAGTAAGGAGGCTGGTTTTCCCCTCTCCCCCGAGCTGGGGACAATAGGAAATCATTCACTCAAATAGCTCCCATTCAAACAGAGGTATTCTAAAATAACAGGATAACCAAAGCCTAGGAAACGCAGTTCAACCCAGCTTGTCTGCAGGGGAAAGGCCTGGAAAAGCGAAATTTCTCCAGCGGAAAAGCAGAACCCTCTCCTCCCTCCCCACCCACAAATTTTACATGTTAAAACCACTAAGAGGCTCAAGACAGCCAGTTTCCCAGGTGAAAATGGACATTTCTGGGTGAAGCTGAAAGCATGGATAAGAGAGATGTATGTTTCCAAAGAAAAACATTATTCCAAAGGAAGAAGCAGGAATAAAAGAGAGTGTCCAAAAGACACCGGCTCAAGCGTGTTCAAATTGTTCAGAGAGCAATGAATGCTCTAGAACTGCAGCAGCCCTTATGTGCTCTGAATCTTATCAGTTGTCCAATAAAATATTATCATTTCCTACGAATCTCGACTCTCCACATTCCTAGGTCATTCCTAGAGCAACAGAGTTCTTTCACATTTCTCATGATTTCAAGTATTTTCTTGCTCTGACTTAGGCAATGCATCCCACAAAGTACCAAAGCATCAAAAAGCATACTTTTTGGCAAGAAAACTGCACGATAAACATCCTGATTTGCTCAAGATAACTCTTTCTCTAGCTTTTCAGGAATAAAAATATGATCCACCTTTTGTACTGAACATTGAATTACCTTGTGTTCCCTGTCAGGAAAGCACTTGCAGAAAGACAGCAGGGCTGCTGAGCTGTCAGCTGAGCGGCAGCTGCTCGTGTTAGCTGTCAGTATATATGCTTTCACCACATATTAAACATCAGCTTTTACTGAACTGAATAAAATACTAAAGATGGAAATAAAGGCAATTTCCTAAATCAGGTGCAAGAACAGACGGGATTATCCTGATCTCTGACAACTACATCCTTTCACCCTTTTTTTCCTCATCCTTTCCTGGTCATGCAACATCTCTGAGATATTGAGGCTGGTGCCTCTGTATGGTCTGACACAAGGAGCAGGAAGGCAGGCTTTGTCAGTTAGGCAAGAGAGGCAGAACATACGCAGCCCAGGAGGGAAGCTATGGGCCTGAGAGGTTGCAGGATTTGGTTATTTCTGAGAAGCAACTGACATAGGGTTCATATGCTGGTGTCTGGAACAGACACACACGTTTGTAACGTAGTATAGCAAGCAGAGGTCCCTTCTGAGTACTGAGATTTTCCACCTGAGATGTCTAACTACATCCTCTCTGCTTTATGTTCTGGTCATCCACCACGGGGCTATCACTGGCAGAGCATAACGGAAATATCCTTCAAAAAGTTACTCTGTTGTCTTACAATAGGTGCAAAGTATGTGAGCTTTTTCTCTGACTTCCTGTGATTGTCCCCGAGATTTCTGTATCTGTGCCAGAGCTCCTTTCCTATGCTGCAGCAGTGAATCAGATCCTGGGAGTGTTTCCTCCCTTTCACAAGATTCAACAGGCTCTGACACCAAATGAACTGCAACGTCTCCTCTTTCCAGTGGCCAGGGAAGGAGGACAGGACCAGGGAGTAGCACTGCTGTGGCAATGCCACAGCAGTCAGATGCAATACTAGAGGACTCCAGAAAAAAGAACTTGCCAAAAGTTGAGGTGTGGAAGCGCATACCTAATCGCACATCAGCATTTTATTTGGAAGCGCGACATCCAGGCAAGACCGCAGAGAAATAAGTTTAAAAAAAACCCTCATCAAAACGTGTAAGACAGTGACAAGACTGTAAGAAGTTGAATCAGAATAGACATGCCTCTATACCTACCTTTTGCAGGACAACTCATCTCAAACATCAGTTTACTCACTTTCAAAACAGGTTAAATAAAGTAGAGTGAGAGGTTAGAGAATTCACAACAAGATCTTCTGTATTGCAGATGCAAAATTCGAAACCTCCTACTTTGGAAATTGACTTTCAAGTTGCAGACAAGCCTTCAGGAAGCTTCCATAAACTACTTCTAGCATGGTGTAGTAACAATGCGCACCTTGTGTGAATCTGTGATGTGATGAGGTTATATTACAGAGCATTTTAGCAAAAGTAAGGCAGGAAAGAAAAACCTATGTAGGTGGAACACAACAAGCCTTTTAAACATGCAAGAGGATGAGGGAAGAAGGAAGGGAGGAAGGGCATGCAGGGAACTAAAATATGATCAGTACCTTTGTAATCATTTCATCACTGCTATAGATTATATATTTACCTTCTCCTTGGCTTTAAATCTGAATCTTCGCCACTGTTTTGGGCTTTCCTATGACATTAAGGAAGTTTTAATCAAATACTATAGCATCACTTAACATGAATACAGAAGAGCACGCATCTTTTCCAATAAAGCCTTCACATAAGATTTTTTTTTTTTTAGTAGGATTTAAGGTAGAAAAAAAGGGGCATGTGTGCTTGTTTTAAACTTTGCAGGCCACCTTTACAATAAGCTGCGAAGGCATGATCCCATTTAAGGTCTCATTGCAAACCCCTGACTTGCAAGGTTGAGCACAGTAAGCTGGCATTTAGAGCTTCCTACTGTTTCCAGCATAGCAAAGTCTGATGTTTCCCTCTTAATTCCAGTAAGGAGCACATAAACAACATGGCTATTGTTATTAAACAGATGAAAAAGGAAAGTGCATGAATAAAACCTGAGATTCAGGAAGACATAATTAGGTTAGTATCTACCCGCTATTGTCAGTCTTCACAGTCTCACATATGAGATAAGACTTTTAAAAATATTTTGGTGGTGTGGTGACCCAAGAGAAAACTTGTTATTGGCGTGACCACCTGTCTACCTAGCAGATGAGCCAAATGTAAATCCCAGATGACAAACATTTTGCATCTCAAAAAATCCCCTCCTGCATGATACTCAAACATTATTCTTTTCATGATACGAGATGGTTTTTGAACTGCACATCTGTATTCCTTTGTTTTTGCAGAGCCCAGCAAGTCCTTCTGCTAACCAAGCTAGAAATGAATCAGAAAATCCATCTCAGGAACCAAATTGCTATTAACGCTTACGAGTGCTATGTCCAAGAGAGTAAATCAACATTTCTGCATTGACTGAAAGAGAGCTACCCTGATTTACCTTAACTCAAGCATGAGGTCACTAAGCAGATTCCATAGGTGAGTTTCTTCACTCCTGTTCTAGACTGCTAATGGCAGACAAAAGGTCTGGAGTAGCTCAGAAAACAAATGTAAAAGCTGCATATCTATCTAGGAGAAGATTTCTCCATCAGTACAGCTGTATATTCAAAGATCCCTCTGCAAACCTTGGCTCTGAGGGCCAAACAGGGAATGGCATCAGAGATGTCAGAAGAAAATGTAATTCGAGCGTGCTGGCTCATAAGGCAGCCCTAGAAGACCACTATAAATATGGTAGAGTGGCTATACTTCACTGCAGACCACAGCACTGGGGAACCTAGCCCCTGCGTTAAGGGTTGCTAGCTCAGATGATGAAAGCAGCTTCCCAGCAAGACAAATCATCCTAGGTAAGATGTAGTCCCTCAAAACTGTATCACTTCAGGACCTGAACTGTCCCTGTAATTTGCATTCTGGCCATACTCCAGAAGACGCAGCACAGATTCTCCATCCGTTTCATGTTACTACTTTAAGTTACTCAATTCAGCACATACCCATTAAAAACACATTAAGTAATCATAGTTGTATTTTTACTGGCATACTTTCTCATGTAAAGTAATTCGCACATGGGACTGCTGAAGACAGCTTAATGGCTCACACGTTTATTCTTTGCTGTACTTAAAGCAAAACACTGTACTGTATCAGAAGCTCATTGTAAAGCAAGCAACCTCAATCCGCTGCTTTACAAGCAAAGAATAGCTGCAGCAACTAAAAGGATCTTGCAAGTGCAAATAATGCAAGCTCTTGGATTTTCAGTATTATTTTCCTGGTACCCAGAAGAGCAAACAGGCAAAAAGCCTGACTGAAGTTTCCCTTCCAAAAGCAGATCTGGCATTTTGTTCAGTCTTGTTTTGTACTGACAACTGACCCCTAGAGTACTCATTTTGCCAGGACCCAGCTGTGTCTCCAAGAGCCCTTACTGAATGCAGAGCACGCAGCACCTGCATAAAAAGCAGCTAACACTGATTAGCCTCCGTGCTCTTACCTCCTCCGGACTGGCTGCCCAGATTCATTCTCACTGCCACCGGATGGGTTCCGTCGCCGAGAGTAAGGAAACTTTGGTGATTTATTGCGGTCACTGGGAGAATTATACAGCCCACTAGAGTTAAAAAGGAAGAGCAAACAATTGACCTTAAAACTTCCAGAAAAGTTAAGTCAGCTAGCCCAGATTCAGTCTACAAAAATAACGAGAAGGGATACACGTGTGTGTGTGTGCGCACACACACATATATATATATATATTCAGTTATACATATACGTGTGTGTGTGTGTTTGTGTTTGCATGTGTACGCGCTATATAATTACAAGTGGTATTGCTTTCCAGGAATAAATATTTTACGCTGAACCTTGAAAACACAGGAGAGAGTCCACTTAGCACTGAGACCACAGCTCTAAACTTACAAAACGTACAACCAAGCATATGCATGTTTCTTTTAGCATAATAAAACTTTTGTACCTTAGAACAACTAAGCGCTAGGCATTCAAAGTGCATCCATACTCTTTATACATGATTTCCATGAACCGAGGCATTAAAATAGTGCTAATATCCTGAAATGTCTCTTCACCACAAAGCCAACACTCAGGACCTGGAAACAATTTTACTTTTAGGTCTCCACTGTTGATCCACACAATCCTCTGCCATTGAAACTGAGGAGTTTCAAGCTTCAGGTTATCTACTTAAGCCTGGGAGGGACCCAAGGCTGTAACAGAGTTAGAAGTAGACGGTACCGCTGGTTACAAAACGCTTGTATGGATTGTCCTGTAGCATCTCCCTACAGGAATGTAAGGACCTCTTCCAACAGTTTACTAGAGCCTGTGACAGAGTACAAATCGCTCTAGGATGCTGCAGTGATGCAACAGCAATACTACAGTTTCTAGGATGATGTATGCTAAACTCCACAACACACCTTCATCTAATGTTACTTAGCCCTTTTTGTGACAGCTATGTGGTAAATGCGGTATTCTCGCCAAATTCCAGTTAAGGTATTTCTTTCTGCTTTCCTAACACCCTCTAGTCTTTAAATCAGATACATGGTTGTTCTTCACCTCCTTGTGCAGACTGCTCATGGCCATACTGCTCTGCTCAGTAAAAAAAACCTGCCACAGTTCATTTCAAAGTGAATGTGTTTCAGAACTAGAAAATCTTTATTAGAAGCTGTTAAACCCTCCGTGCAGCATATAGTCTCCTTATGTGTCCACAACTGCATAGTCCTTTAGAATAGAAGGACTTGCAAAAATTCAGTCTTTCTGTTCTTCAGCTGTTAGGCCTTTAAATTTCCTTCTGTTCTGAGAACTATTTCAACTCTGAAGCTGTAACGTGACAAGCTGACACCCCTTCGTCTTTAAACATCTTTAAACATCACACACAAAAGTCTACCCCAGCAAGAGAACATCAGCACGCTGCTTTGTTCTTATTCTGAAAACTCTTTATATTTACAATAGGACCAAACAGAGTAAGTCATCATGGTGCCCATAAAGATATAGGAATTTTAGCAGAAAAGTCCTGGTAACACACTGTGTATAGACCTGTATCATCACATAAAAGTAGGATCATACTGAACCACATCAATGATCCATCTAATTCGGTGGCCTGTTTCCAACAGCAGCCATAAGCAACCACTTACAGAAAGGTAAGAAGGTAAAAGTGTATGATAGTTCTTCCTATACTCTCTCTCTCCCTACCTATTTCCAGCTCAGAGGACTTCCTCATCCATGTGTTGTTCCTCTGCGTTTAGGAGCCCGCAGCGGATCTCTCTTCTCCATGTACCGGCTCCATCTCTCCCAGGCACCCATTAACTTCGGGCATCCCTTCTAAAGGAGCAGAACAGGTCTCCTACTCACCGGGAGTCACTACTCCTTTTGAGTGCTTTTAAACTGCTCCTAACTACCTTCCTCTGACACTCCCAAGTCCCTACACTGGAAAAATATAAGTATTATTGATCTCTATCCCCTTTCTCTATACTATTTGTGACTTTCTAGACCTCTATCACATTCTCTGAAATTGCCTCGTTTCCAGACCGAAGAGTCCTGGTCTACGCAGTTATACCTTGTACACGTTTCCTCTACAGTCATTCATACCTGTGATCACCCTTACTGCCTCTCTCAAAGCCTCTTCCAGCTTTATTATAACCATTCTGGGATAAGGACATCAGAACTGCACTCATTGTTCAAGGAGCAAAGACACGATCCACAAATTTATGTAATGGCATAATGCTGTTCTCTTGCTCTCTTCTCTATCCCTTTCCTAATACTCGCTAATTTTTTTCTGACTGCTACTGAGCTGATGTTTCCATGAAGCTATCCACCATAATCCCCAAATCCCAGTCCTACATGGTAATGGCCATCTACAGCACCTCATTTCACTTGGGAATCTAGGAGTATTCCCCTACCCGACACTGTGCCTCACTTCACATTTAGTGACTCAGTGATCTCATCTATCATTTAGTGACTAGTCACTCCATCTCTAAGGGTTTTCTGTTCAGCCTTCTTTCCAGTTCTTTTATAGATACGCTGGAAAGCAGATATCCAAGCACAGATCTCTGCAGAATGCCACTGGTGACTCCTATCCAGTGACTATTTCCTTCTACCCTTTCTTTCCTAATTTTTATCTCACTGTTTATCCATGTCAGTACCTATTTCTTATGACAGATCTATTACGACTCTGCTAATATATTATTATCACTAATCTCCTTCACCTTATTGCCAGGGCATGATATTTACCTTTGCACGATACTTAAGTCATCATGCCTTGCCTTACCTCTTTGGGCCGTTTTCCTCCCACGGTGCACTTGTTTTACTTCTTTGGGTTTCTGGGCTGTTTTCATTTTTCATCTTTTTAAAGCTAAATAAAAGTACAAATATGGTTTTTTAAACCTATAATGTACAGATCATCTTCCCCCCGCCACAGACTCTTAAAGAATTAATCTTAGAGGAATGCAGTCATTAGAGAGACCCACCCTGGCATACAGCTGTTTGCCTGTTATGTGAAAGAAGGCAAACAGCTGCTGTGTTAACAAATCTGGCCTAGAAAGAAAGACTGGAAGAAAAAAATATGACTTCAAAAATCAGCTCTGAAGTCTCTTAATTATGGCTGTACTGAGTCAGAAAAAAGGTCAGTCTTGTCTCAGCATGGATGAAAACAGAGGCTAAAGCAGAAAGTCTAAGAATAGGGCAAATACACAGGATGCCCTCCCAGCTTTCCACAATATGCAGTTAATGGATTACTGAATCAGAGGCTTTACTTGCCTCTTTTTTCTTTTTTTTTTTCAATTAAACAGAGTTCTTGATGGAACTTTCTTCCATGGATTTATCTAAACACTTTTTGAACATACTTTTATTTTTGGCATGAATGGTGCCTGGTAGCAGTGAGTTCCAGTATTTAACTATGGCATTTTGTTTCAAAACTTCCACTATTTAATCCTTGCTAGTTCTGGGTTTATGGGGACTAAGAATGATGGTTCTCTAATCACAGATTCCATCCCCCCTTTTTTTTTTTTTAAACAGATTTCTAACACCTATCCCTCATCTCTTTTCTAAGTGAAAGAGTCATAGTTTAATCTCTCCCAGTACAGGAGCTATCCCGTAGATCTGATTTTCCTTCTCATTTTTCTAGGTCTATAGTATCTGCTTTAAGATAGGTGTGACAAAGGGAGGGTAGATAACTATTCCAAACGTGACAGACCACGGGTTCATAGAGTAGCACAGTGATGTTCTCCACTTTCTTCTCATCCCTTCCCCAGTAACTCCGTTCACTGTCTTCCTGCTAGCAAAGCAGGAAAGCATTTTTTTCTGAGCACTGATCTAACGATGTGAAAGAGCTATCTTCACTGACTCCTGCAAGCCAAAGTACCAGGACAGCCAAGACAGGGACCTGGCTTAAGAGAGATATACCAGGGTTCGTAACCAATCTCCCATTCTACCTGTGGGGGCATGGGGGAAACAACAGCATACTCTAATTTCTTTTTCATTCTTTCTTTCTCATGCTGTCAGGTTTCACAACTCTTATCACACTAATGCACCCAGACCGCCTGCTCGCTGCCACTCCAAATGTTGGATGGTGGCTTCTGGCTGGAGTGTGCTTTTTGCCTCCTTCTCTCTCCACTGGCTAGT